AAGAGCCTGATAACCACCTCCCCTAATTATTTCAAAAGATAACTACTTGACAAAAATATATAATTACATCCCTATCTAGTTAGCTCGTTTTTGCCATTACTTTCATTGGCAAAAACACCAATTATATTTGCACCAATCTAATATTTAAAACCCATGCTCTACTTCAATGAGGACTGAGAGGACATTGTTAAAGACTGTATGTTCGTGTCCCTCAAACTTCAAACCCTCATCCCCTATGGGACAGCATTATGTGGTGGGGCCTTTGGGGGTTAATTAGGTCATGAGGGTGGAGCCCCTATGATGGAACTGGTGTGCTCATAAGAGACTTAAGAGTGTGTGCTCTCTCTCTGTTGTTCTCCCTCTGTTTCTGTTTTTCTCTGATGAGAAAATACACTAAGGAAATGGCTATCTGCAGCTTCTCATTATGTGCCCTCACCAGGTATCAAATCTGTCTGCACCTTGATACCTTGGTCTTAGACTTCCCAACCTCAAAAAGCATGAGAAATATATCTCTGTTGTTTAGACCCCTCAGCCTACAGTATTCTGTTACAGTAGCCAACACTGACCAAGACAATTATATACTGGTGAGCTGGAAAGGGATGTGCCCTCTTATTAAACTTTACCATCAGGAATCCCATCAAACTCGGCCGGCCCCACTGCCCTCTTTCTTACTCGCCTTCACCGCCTGCTTTGCTACCTTCCTAAGACCCGTCTCCTTCCCCACTGGGTTCTTTAGAACTTCCCTTCCAATAAGACTGGTTCTAGAAATTTCTTATCTCTCCTCTTCAGCCCACAGCTCCTTTCTCTTTTAACAAAAACAAAAGAGACAATAAAAATTCCCAAAACAAAGAAAAGTTAGAAATTTAAAAACATGACTGCTCTCTCATAACCATGGGTTCTGGCCTGTATCAGCAATCTTATTACCATGGAAATAGTCAATAAGTAAATTTAATTATTGTGTTTAACATTCTTTTGATTCTTAACATTACTGGAGTGTTATTAGAGAAATTCTACTTGGAGGAAGATAAAACATGGTAAAGCAGCTAAAACATACTTTCCTGAAGAAACTACCCCAAAGGACGAATCTGTTTCGTTGTCTGCTTATTCCCAACAAAAGACAAGCAAACAACAACAAAAAAGAAAGGCAAAAGAATTCTTGGTGATTAAACATCATCTGATCATGGATGTTACAAAGGAGAATGAAGACCTTTGCCGGGATTAGCAAGGAGCAAGCACAGACATAAAATTGCACGCTGGTGTGAAACGGCCCAGCTAGAGCTGCAAAGACAGCACACAACTGGGACCTAACTTCAAAAGAAACAAAATGTGAACATGTTTAAAGGTTTGCAAACAAAACTGAGTACAGGACGTCAGGAAAGCTTTGAGTCTTTCAGTGAGCATGAAAAATACTTCTTTTTTTCTTCAGTGAGTGTGAGGGAAGAAATACTTTGAGTAGTGCAGAAATTGATGTGAGGCCATTAAATAAATAATGATCTGATGTCTCCAATATTCCTTGGAAGGCTCTGTCCTTTACAGAGTTAAAGATTCAAGATGCACTGGGAAGGCAGTCAGCATTTAGACTTCCCTAGGGGCCAAACCCAGATTTCAGTTTATGCCACAGTGTTCAGAAAACAGATTTGATTGCCATTTAATATATAAAGAAAGTAAGATAAAGTATTAAAGAATTCATTAATTAAGTGCTAAAGCCAGATCCCAAAATCCAGGTATGCTGGATTCCAAAGCTTGTGTTTTAAAAGTCAATTCTCCTTTCTATTATGCTATTTCTTAAGATTTATTATAACATTTGACTCCTACTTTAAAATTCTCAGCACAGATGGCATAGAGTCGGGTAAATATGTGTTTTAGTTAAAGCTGCAATCCAGAAGCAGCTCCTCTTCTGTTCAGAAAGCCACAAGTCAGAGGTGATCAGGAGTTTTAGCGCAGAAACAGTGCAACTACCCCAGAGGGAGCCACCCTTAGATTTTTGCTACTTATTCCTCACATCAACCTAATTCACTGAATCAACAAGTCCTCTAATGAGCTGAATGCCAAACCGGGTTTTCTTTGGTGAAATTAGTGGTCTGTTAGATAGCATTAATATTAACTACATGTTAGAAAGGAAATCTCGATAGTGAACTTAAAGGCACTAAGGGTATTTTCGAGACACTCGCAGCCTTGTGCAAAGATGGTAAAAGATTCTGGTGAGGTCCGTAACCTGAGTTACTAGAAATGGTTCCGGAGTCAGGATCACTTAGTGATCCTGTGTCAGCCATTTGCTGAGGAGGCTTTCTCTCGCCTGGCACTAGCTCTGGCTGTAGTTGAATCCCACTATTCAGCAATGCTGCTTCTGGAGAACATTTTATTCAAGGTGCAGGAGGCAGAGCTGGGACCTCACTGAGCTTGCAGAAGAATGTTTATTTAGATTAACACTGTTGCGCTTTCTTGGTAATACCCGTTCATTTAATAAATGTGTTCTTGTGCATCATAACTTGTCCTGTGACTTCCTTTCCCTTGCCCTCTAGAGGCAAAGCTATAGGAGAGTAGCTAATTCTCACACATCTCTCAAACTTTCCAGTGACTGATGATGTTTTTCACAAAGAATGTAAAAGGTGTGTGTGAAGATTGGCTAAGGTTGATCTATAATTCTGTTTCTCAGATTGTGTTTATCAGAATCACTTGAAGTTTTGCATTCTTCAGTTTCTCATCCTCTTGAATTTAAAAGTTCCAGAGGTGGGGCCTGAGAGGCTGAATGGGAATCAGTTCTTGTGATGATTCTTACACACTCTGAGGATTCAGCTGATGACAGTATAACAAAACAAGCATCATGATCATTAGCTGACAGTATATCCTAAGGGCAGACCACAGACCCAAGAGAAAGTCAATATTCTCCTGACTGCTGGGCTTGAAACCCAAAATCTGTAAAGCAATAGTAAATAGAACACCATAAAGACCTCATATCCTATAAACTTTATGCCACGAATGTGTGATTATAGCTATTTGCTTGCCCCCTAGATTAAAATTGATAAAAATTGGCCTTAAGCATTCAGGGAGCTCATGTATGGCCAAAATATTCCAGTCCAGGGATGAGTAGAGATTATTAGTAGCTTTCCAAGGGACAATTGTGATCCATTTACTATCACAGCAATAAAAACTGTTGGCCATAGCCAATCATATTGTGTATTTTTTGGAGAGTAACCAGTTTGGCTATCGAGTTGTTTTTCTCACATTAATATGTCCAGTTCATTCACTCATAAGACATATTGTCTGACATCTGTTCATCAAATATTTATTGAGTCTTTTTAAAATCATGAAGTTTTAACTTTCAACAAATATTATGAAAGATTAAAGAAGCAGAGCCCTAGTTCATGACTTTTGTCTCTAATTTGTCCCTAATTAGATGTAGAGAAATGCCCTGGTTTAGGACTCAGAAAATTTAAATCTAGGTGCTAGCTGCAAACTCAGAGGCAAGTCAATAAATCTCCTAGGACTTCCGTTTCCTCTTAGAAAATTAATAATAAAATGATGTCTTGCCTATTTTATTGAATGTACTAATTCTTTCATAAATATTTATTGTTCATCTATGATATTCCAAATTTTTTTCTAGGACCTTGAGGAATATAACAACAGAGAGGCTGCTATCACACCACCTTACTCTAAGAACCAGAATACACACACACACACACACACACACATGTACATGCAGAGACACACAATGATATATAAATATATAGATGTAAATGCAAATAGAAACATTTTCAGAGGCAACATATGTAACATATAGATTTTAAAGCTTAAAGAAAACCTTTTCTAAGAATGTGATTAATTTTTTCCATCTCACATTGTATGATATAGGACAGAAAAGACAATAATCTAATGAAAGCTATATTGATACAAACAATGCACCTAGCACTATAATGAAATCTGTCCTCATAATTCACTAGTTAATAAAAATTCATTTTCTGACAGGACACATTTTTTAATTAGAAAATATGACCGGTCTTCACTACAACACTTTTTCACACATAGAATTTATCATAAGATATTTTTTTCTTTTACTAATCTTTCCATTGCTTAAGAACCAAGATGTTTGTGACAACATGGCTTCTCTTACAAGGAAGACTGTGGTAAGTGCCTTTAAAATGGTCCCCAGGAATCAGTGGCTCTTGGTAGTCAAGCTCTTGCAAAGTTACTTTCCTTTAACTGTGGATGGGATTTAGTGACTCACTTCTAACAAGTTGTAAATAATAGTAGTGATGGGATATCATTGCCAAATTGGATTATTTTTTAAACAATACTTATGGTTTTTATCTTGAGAACTTTCTTACTAACTGGCTTTCCCTTCCCCTCCTCTCTTTCTTCTGTTTTCTCTCTCTCTTTCTCTGCCCAGTCACCTTGAGGAGAGAAAGTCTACTTGAAGAACAAAGGTATTAACAGAATCAGAGGCCACATGGAGGAGAACTGAGGCATCCCAGCCAGCACCAACTGTCAGCCAGGTAAGTGAGACTTGTTGGAAGCAGATGCTGTAGCTCAGCAAGGTTCAAATAATGCAGCCACAGCCGACAGTTTGAGGTCAACCTCATGCGAGACTCGCTTAGCTAAATTACCCCTCAATTCCTGATCCAGAGAAACTGCAAGATAACAAATGTTTTTATGAAGACGCTAAGGTTTGGATAACTAGTTACATAGCCATTGGTGACCAGTAAATAATCCAAGGACCTGACTTTTGAGGATTATGAGGATGAATTCAGAATCCCTTTGTTATACTTCAGTGATTTAAATTGGGCCAGAAAAATACGGTGACATCACCTTAATATCTATCAGAATGAAACAAAAATTTTCATTTTTTTTTTTTTTTTGCTCAATGGAATTACAGAGTTTGTTTGATCCTGAGATCTACTGACTTCATTAAGTCAAATACAAATTCTTTATAATCAAACTTCATCTTGAAACCTCAGTTTTTTTGCAATGGATTAGTAACCAAAAAGCAACGGCATTCTTACCTCCAAAAAAGTACTTCTCGCCAGTTTTAACTTGAAGGGGACTGTTAGTTCGAACTGCTGATGCTTCATCTCCATCGATGGTGAGAATCGCAAAATTTTCCTTGGCTAGGAAGCGAACCTCGTGCCACTGCCCATCATTCAACCCAGAACCTGGTAAGTACAAGATAAAAGTCATTTCTTTTTTTAAAATTACCCAGTTGAACACAATTCCAATATCAACAAAGTCAGAATTTTACAAATAAAAGTAGTTTTCTCTAGGAAAATACAGCGCTGCTCACAATTCAAACTGATATCTCATGTTTCTTTAACATCCTAAGTGGTTCTGTATTCCGTCTAACTGAATAAGGCATAATATAACCCAATCAGGTAGAGAAGCAGCATTAACACCATCGGGTTGAAAAAATCTTTGAGATGGTGACTATGAACTATTCTAACTTAGTAATTTATTTTCTGTTTCACTTTGCTAGATCTCATTCTCAAACAAGAAAATAAATTTATGGCTTTTATCTAATGTCTTTGTTTTTAAAATCTTTATTTTTCTGTATAGTTTGTTTTTTCTCAATAAACACATTTGGCGAGTATAGTTTATAGAAATTAAGGACTAAATAATAAATGTGTACTTGCAGTTATACATACTAACTGACCACTAATGGTCACAGAAAATAATAACAGAATTATTTGATCATTTACAAATACGTTATCTTCATAATGGAGTACATGATATAAAAAACCCCAGCAAAATAAACCAAGAATGCATATCCTCAACAATGACACTTCATTGTGGCCTGATAGAAAAATCTTTGGAAACCAAAGTTCTATTGAATTGTTCATTAGGTGGACAGTAGCTTAAAGCTTTTGTATAGTTTGTTTTCATTTTATGAAGAACAATCAGAAAATTAAAAAGCAAAAAAAGAACAGCCATGAAACATAAGCATCTGGAGAGAGTTTAACACTGAGTAGCAGAGGAAACCAAGAAGGCCAGGGTGGCTTACTTCACTTTGTGAAGGCCTATGTTATGACAAGGTGGGGGGTGGGGGGTATTTTGTGCTATTCTTCAGATGCAAAATGTAGAATCCACAGGTAGAAATTACATGAGAACATGCTTCAGTTTCACAAAGAAAGAGAACTCTAGCAAATAAAGGCATCAAAAAATAGAATGAGAGCCAATCAACGACGCACAGATCAGGGCTCCAAGTTCCTGATAATTTACACCAGGAATCTGAAAAACCAGTTTGTGGCTGAAATCTGGCTTGCTGCCACCTGCTTTTCTATAACCTGTGAGCTAAGAACAGTTTTTACTTTTCTAAATGGTTGAAATCAAAAGGAGAATAATGTTTCGTGACATGTGAAAGTTATATACAATTTAAATGTTAGTGCCATATAAGTGTTAAGTACTTTTATTTACATAGCATGTACTCTACGCCAACAGCCATCTGCACCAGAAATTCAATAGTTCATAAAGCCTAGACTATTTACTACATGTGGTCCTTTATAGGAAAATCACACATTACTAGTTGATTTATACTAAGAAATAGAAAAACTATTTTAAAGAAAAGCATTAGGCCTGTTGGAGCTTAGAAGATACTCACATGTCTGTAGTAGTTACTCGTATCATAGTAAGTATTATTACTAATATCATTCCTCAGGTGCTTTTATAGGATTTTCAAAATTTAATTTAGTAATATGTAATGAGAATTTTTTTTTTGAGATGGAATTTCACTCTTGTTGTCCAGGCTGGAGTGCAATGGTGTGATCTTGGATCATTGGAGTCTCCACCTCCTGGGTTCAAGTGATTCTCCTACCTCAGTCTTCCAAGTACCTGGGATTACAGGCATGCACTATGCCCTGTTAATGTTGTGTTTTTAGTATAGATATATATATATTTTTTGAGGTGGACTTTCGCTCTTGTTACCCAGGCTGGAGTGCAATGGCGCAATCTCGGCTCACCGCCAACTTCCGCCTCCTGGGTTCAGGCAATTCTCCTGCCTCAGTCTCCTGAGTAGCTGGGATTACAGGCACTCACCACCATGCCCAGCGAATTTTTTGTATTTTTAGTAGAGACGGGGTTTCAGCATGTTGACCAGGATGGTCTCGATCTCTTGACCTCGTGATCCACCCGCCTCGACCTCTGAAATTGCTGGGATTACAGGTGTGAGCCACTGCTCCCAGCCTAGATATTGTTTTATCATGTTTGTCATTCTGATCCTGAACTCTGACCTCAAGTGTTCCACCCTCCTCTGCCTCTCAAAGTGCTGGGATTACAGGCATGAGCCACCATGCCCAGCCACTGAGCACATTTTCTTTCAATCAAAACCAATATCAAATCCCTGCTCTAAAGTAATTAATGCAAAGACTTTCCAACTTATAAAATATAGAATACATGTGAATATATGTGTAAATAACATGAAGAGTATAAATAACGTAATAAGGCAAACAGCCACATGAACTCACTATCATCTTGGGTCTACCATATGATCCAGCAGTCCAACTGCTGAGTATATATATACCCAAAAGGAGGGGAATAAGTCTATCAAAGAGATGTCTGGACTCCTGTTTGTTGCAGCACTGTTTACCATGCCTAAGATTGGGAAGTAACCTAAGTGTCCAACAACAGATGAATACAGAGTACTTCAATAGCCCCTAATGGTTCCTCTGATTTCACTCTTCGCACCAACAATCTACTTTCTCCACAAAGTACTATTACCTTTTGAAATATATAATTGGGATCACACCATTATCTATAACAGCCTTCTGTTCTTTTTGAACTCACAAGAAGTACTGGCTAAAGTCCTTTTGGTGAATTAACAGGTGTCATGTGAACCATCTGGAATGCCCTGTGTGAATTATCTGCATGGATTTGTTTCCTCACATCAGGTCTCTGTGCAAATGTCATCTTAACAGAGAGGTCTTTCCTAGCTATTCTTATAACATATCATTTCCCCCTCTATTCCAACATCCCTCCTTTTCTGAGCTTTAGTTTTCTTCATAGTGTCTCTCATTAACAGATTTATTATATGTTCATTTACTAACATCATACTTATTCATTTTTTGTCTTCCTTTTTTTTTTTTTAAGAGACGGGGTTTCACCATATTGGTCAGGCTGGTCTGGAACTCCTGACCTCAGGTGATCCACCCACCTCGGCCTCCCGAAGTGCTGAGATTACAGGCGTGAGCCACCGCACCCAGCCCATTTTTTGTCTTCTATCACTTGATTATAAGCTCTGTTTTATCTGTTTTAGTCTCTACTAAAATCCCCATAGTTACAACAGTGTCTGGTACATAACAGGTGTGAATGAATAAGTAAATGAATCCGAGGGAGTGATCATGACCAGGAATCTGGCATTCTGGGTTTCATAGATGGCCAAGTAAATGATGAAACATAAAAAAGCAATAAAAATAGCACTGAAGCTGCTGACTATGGCTTCTCAGTTATAAATGGTAATGTACAATATGACTAATTCTAAGTGTAAGGATTAAGTTCAGTAGATAAAATTGTCTTGTTAACTTTAATTTAATGTCAGTAGATCCTCCTGGAAATCTGCATCATCCCAAACTCATTTGTAATTGACCTTGCTCTGTTATCAAGTTATTTAATGAAGTATATCTCTTCAGTCCGCCCTGGTTGTCACCTGCAGAAAACTCCCATACATTGCAATGGCTTCCAGTGATGTAGAAAGAGGAACAGGCCAGACGCTATGTGTGCAAGCGGCAGTAGTTACTACAGTTTCTCAGAGAGACCCCAGTGGGCTTGAACTCAGTTGCCCATAGTAGCAGTTTCCTTATTAAATAACCTTTCTGTGGCTTTCCATCCTAGCTTGTCTCACTTCCCCTCTCCCCTATGGCATTCATTGGACCAATGTCAAGTAAATCATATGCACCCAAATTCTTGTATTAGGGTCTACTTTTTGGTACTTATAGGTAATTTTGTAAGGTAGTTCCTCACTGTAAAAAGAAAAAGGCATGATTTAAGTTCAAATTCTGTTTCTGACAAGAATATCTTTAGTAAATCATTTAATCCCAGAGTTTTATTTTTCCTCTCCATATAAAAATTGGGAAAACAATAGTTATATTTCTTATCTTTTGAATATTCTGAAAAACACCACAAATAAAATCTCTTGTACAATAAAATTACTATGTGCATGTAAAGGCTTATTCTTGAAGTTAGCTGTCAGACAAGCAGCAGTGTTTACTGAAATAGTTCCATCTCAAGTTGGTTTCTTTGGACCAACAGAAGTGATACATGGAAGACCATATCTTAACATAGCATGTGTTTTGTTTTGTTTTGTTTTGTTTTGTTTTTGAGACGGAGTTTCGCTCTTGTTATCTAGGCTGGAGTGCAATGGTGCAATCTCAGCTCACAGCAACCTCCGCCTCCTGGGTTCAAGCAATTCTCCTGCCTCAGCCTCCCGAGTAGCTGGGATTACAGGCACGTGCCACCATGCCCAGCTAATTTTTGTATTTTTAGTAGAGACGGGGTTTTACCATGTTGACCAGGATGGTCTCAATCTCTTGACCTTGTGATCCACCTGCCTCAGCCTCCCAAAGTGCTGGGATTATAGGCGTGAGCCACCACGCCTGGCCCATTTCACTTTAAAGTACAAAATAGGGTTTATAATTGATTAACTATAAGACTGCATGGTTTTTTTTATTTTGATTTTTGCCTTTATAATTTGACAAACCCTGCTATAAAATACAGTTTTGGGACATGGATCTCAAAGACATCAATGTGATATTTGTCCAGTCCCCAAATCCATTCCTAAATAATCACACATCCAGAGAAAGTCCTTTTTAAAATATCCTCAGTTATTCGAAATGGCAGAGCAAGAAAACCTTTCAGAAAATTCCTGTGAAAATTCTTCATCACAATATTAATTTATAAATGGAATGTCTTCCTAATTTTTCATGGCAAAAGGCCTATTATTCTAGTAAGATTAAAATTAAAAGGTTATTTTAATTTCTTCAAGGAACTTAATTACCAGAGAAATTGGCACCCAGATTAAAGGAGCCTTGCTGTTAGCAGCCACTGCAATATCAAAGCTTAAGCTGTGATTTCTATTCATTTCCAATTATTATTTTGAAATTTTAATTTTATTTATCAAGAGGAAATACCTCAATAATCTATGATAAAAATAGGTCCCCAAATGTAATGA